CACACACACACACTCACTCACTCACATTCACTGACATGTACTTTCTCCTACAGAGTGGCTGGTGGATTCACACACAGCATACTTTGCAGTTAGTAGCCCAATGCATATAACACTATACCACCAGGGCTCATATATATATGAGGTACATATATATATAGGACTATACCAAAAAGAGCAGATTGCTTTTTCAAACCTATGCATTTAAATTTTTCTACAAAACCTCATCAACCTTCAAAGTCTTTTTATTAAACTTAATACATTTGTCAAACCTGTAATTCCAGTCTTGGAAACATTTTTCAAACTCATCTGTTTGGATGGCTGACAGCACCTCCCTCGCTTTTTTCTTCACCTCTTCTACAGTCAAATTGCTGTGCTTTCTTGTCCCTCTGCCTTTATGGAAAAAAGAACTAGCAATGAGTGAGGTCAGGTGAGTAAGGTGTGTGGGGCAAGAGAGGCATGCTGTTTTCTGCCAAAAAACTGGCCCAGAGATGGCTGCGTGAGCAGGCGCATTGTCATGATGGCAAAACCAGATCCCCATCTGCCACAGATCAAGCCTTTTTTGTCACACACTGTTAGGACAAATCTTTTCAGAACCTCTACATAGAAAACTTGATTAACAGTCTGCACTACGAGTTCACATTTTTATACATTCGGGAAGTTGATGGGACCTGCGATGAGGTTTGTCATCAATCAACATTTCACTGTTCTGGAAATAAGAAAACCATTCGCACACTTGACTTTTTGCCCATAGCACTGTCCTTATAAACTGTGTTCAATATCAGAAGTTTCTGCGGCATTTTTCCTGAACAGAAAAAACATCACAGTTGCACTGTTCTCTTTAATTGACCATCACAAAAAAACAAGGTTCGAGCAGAACTGCTTTTATGAAAAATTTCAGTGACCAGAGAACCTTCCCAGGCAACGCCACTGGGTGCACGAGCTCAGAGTGAGTTGCTCGGTGCTCGTGTAGTGGGAAAAAGGCATACTATGAAAGCTCTGTTCCGCCCAATGTAATTCATTTGGGGGGGGTATCCCCTTATATACACACATACATACATATGTACACATTTTATATATATATATGTACATTATATGTATGTGTACATATACACATGTGTATATTATATATTATATACATACACGTGTATGGAAATTTAGGTAAACAAAGAAGCAGGTTCTCAGCTGAGCTCTACCCAGGATGTAAATGTTCAAACACTAACTAGATCCATACAGAGCATAAATTTTTCAGGCTTAGGAGTTGTCATGATCATTGGGCCTCTAATCAAGTACTCCCTCAATGCAAGAACACTTTGTTCTAATAACCTAGCATTCTGTGATACTCAACTTCCCAACAAGATCACTGAAGACAAAATGGGTGCATAGCAAATGTGGTGAAGAAAGCTGATGGTGCCCAGCTATCAAAAGATACAGTGTCTGGGGTCTTAAAGGCTTGAAGACAAACAAGCAGCCATTTAGCACAG